AGGTGAATCAAATAATAAAAATGCCATGTACATCACTACAGATTATGCGAGACGGTCAATAGTAATGCTTCCAGATAATCCTGAGTTACAATCATATTACATCCTGACAGCGTACAAATTACTGCGTTTCGACTAAATCAATAAGCGCCCCCTCTCCAATAAGCCCCCCCTCAAACATCCTTGAAATAAATAACCCCCCGGGGGGCTAAATAGAGGATTTACAGTATTGGAAATATAAACCTTGATATCTCCAAGATGCATCACTTGAATCCTATGAAATTCTTTTACCATTCAAATATTTACTTTAATGTAGAATCAATACTGAAAATATTAAGCTAGGTGATACAGTATAGGCACTTTAAATGTTACAAACGTTGCATGACATTTGACTTTTACTCCTCAGTTGCCAGATATTGTCAGTAAAGGAGAAGAAGAAGAATCATCAACAGGTGTAGACAAAGGAGTGCCCACGATCCACCAACCATCACCTGCTGCATTAGCAATCATCCAAGACTACCTTGAAAAAAAAAGATTGCGTTTATTGGACTTGTTTGCACAAGCTGATAAGGACAAAAACTGGATTGTGTCGAGAGAGGAGTTTCGGAAGATCATAAGGTCTGCAGGAATTCCTTTGAGTGAAACTGATCTGGAGGATTTGATTATGGCATTGGATAAAGATGAAAATGATGCTTTAGATTTCTTAGAACTCTCAACAGGAAGGCAAGCTTACCTAGACGAAAGGTAAATCCTACCCCTCTCTCCATTTCTTCTCCCCCTGGAGGTACTCTTGCCTGTTTAGGGTAGGGATGTGCTGCTGAGCCCTCTGAACCCTGACCCTGTTCCAGAGTAAAATTGCTGAAATTCATACCCTGTTCCAGAGCAAGATCACTGAAAATTATACCCTGTTCCAGTGTTGCAAAAATAGATACCTTGTTCCAGAGAGGAGAGAGTGTGATTTCATATACCCTGTCCCAGAGTGAGCGCAATTTTATATACCCTGTTTCAGAGTAGAATTGTTGAAAACCATACCCTGTTTGGCGGCACTTACCTGTATAGGCTTAGTCTAAAATCCAGGGGGAGGGTACTCTGTTTGTCTAAGTGCATGGTAGGGGTGATCGGCATTCCTTTTAGGGTTGAAAATATTTCCTGTGTGAACCTTTTAGGGGTTATAATGATGGACTGCCAAATGAACAATAAAATGGCATGCAAAATTTACTGGAATGACCTCCTTTTACCAAGCTTCTTTACTATGGCAGACTAAAATAGTTTTCTATTTCGAGCCCTGTATACTGTAGTACAGTATAGGTACGCCATAACATAGTCTAGTACAGTTAAGGTGAACATAATATTGTACTGTTTATAAGCACGTTTATTAGATTAGGGCTCATAAAGTACCAGTTTCAAAGAGTCAAAGAAACTAAATTTCCCCTACTCCTATCCCATATCTGTGTCTTTTGTAGCAATTCTTTGAGTCCATCCATCCATCCATCCATCCATCCACCCATCCATCCATCCATCCATCAGTCCATCCATCCATCCCCCCATCCATCCATTCATTCAT